AAAAAAACGGGGTTTAAATATAAATACAAAATATACAGCTTATCTGATTCAAGATCGGTCTGTTTCAATAGATATAAGAAGATGTGGTATGAGTGCCAATGAGACAACTCTCCGTCCAAGTCACAATTTGTAAAAGTAAACCATTATAGGTCAAAATGTCTATACTGGCATCTTTAAATGCACCGGAATATCTGTTTGTTTCGGTTTTATATTCTTATGTCTGGCATATCCCATGTACGACAATATCGTAGCTACAAATGCACAGCATCCCACAGTTCGGGCTCCCGCCTTACACTCACAAAACCAACCGTTAATTGGATGGTTATCATTAATAATTTATCCTCATTTAATAGAAAGCCAAAGACAGTATTGTTTACAGCTAGTGTGTCTGAATTGTATTTTGGCTTGCACGATGGACGACGAGACAGTATGTAGAATGTCAGTACTAGTATCCACACAGTTGGTGGATTGACGATAAAATTGCTGTCTGCATTTGTTACAAATACCATTTTCAAAAATGTTCCTGTTCAAGGTTTCGAAAAATTGTTTTATGTTGTTTTGCAATTTTTCTGCAATGGCCTTTTTTTCGTTATGTGTATATTACACACACAACATTTGGGATTCATTGCTATATAATCAATTCTCGTGTTATATTAATTTATGTACAAGCACCTACTTAAGTTTGACGGCAATTGTTCCTTGCATATATATAATAAATGTAAACACATGAATAGGATGTAAGTCAAGAGTAAGGATAGTAATAGGAACGCACACAAAAAGCAACACCTTATTTTTTTTTTCTTTAATGAAATGATATATAGTCAAAATGATCCATAAATTAAACAAACATCCGAAAAAATATGATAGAAACATTCCAATTTAATATTTCAACACAAAAAATGCAAAAAATCTGCGGTTGATTTGAACCCTTTCTTAAAAACAATCTACCAAATACAGTTCAATGCACTACCGATGGAGCCACGGCAGCTCTTTAATATCTGTTATTTTAAAGCAGTTAACTAACGGATTATAGTAGAAAGTGTCTGTATTGTTTATTTTCATTGTTTTACTGTATTATATGTATATCATGTATAATGTTTGTAAGCCATTGGCCCATTTGGGCGTAAAGTGCTTTTTCAATAAAGTATATAGGTACAATTTAGTGATGTTCCACTTTTTGTCGAGCCTTCGACTTTTGTCGAAAAAGCGAGACATAGCGATCCTACATTCCGTCGGCGTCGTCGTCGTCGTCGTCGTCGTTGTCGTCGGCGGCGTCCACAAATATTCACTCTGTGGTTAAAGTTTTTGAAATTTTAATAACTTTCTTAAACTATCCTGGATTTCTACCAAACTTGGACAGAAGCTTGTTTATGATCATAAGATAATATTCAAAAGTAAATTTTGTAAAAAAAAAATTCCATTTTTTCCGTATTTTACTTATAAATGGACTTAGTTTTTCTGCCAGGAAACATTATATTCACTCTGTGGTTAAAGTTTTTGAAATTTTAATAACTTTCTTAAACTATCCTGGATTTGTACCAAACTTGGACAGAAGCTTGTTTGTGATCATAAGATAGTATCCAGAAGTAAATTTTGTAAAAAAAAAATTCCATTTTTTCCGTATTTTACTTATAAATGGACTTAGTTTTTCTGCCAGGAAACATTACATTCACTCTGTGGTTAAAGTTTTTGAAATTTTAATAACTTTCTTAAACTATCCTGGATTTGTACCAAACTTGGAAAGAAGCTTGTTTGTGATCATAAGATAGTATCCAGAAGTAAATTTTGTAAAAAAAAAATTCCATTTTTTCCGTATTTTACTTATAAATGGACTTAGTTTTTCTGCCAGTTAACATTACATTCACTCTGTGGTTAAAGTTTTTAAAATTTTAACAACTTTCTTAAACTATCCTGGATTTGTACCAAACTTGGACAGAAGCTTGTTTATGATTAAAAGCTAGTATCTAAAAGGAAATTTTGTTAAAATATTTTTCCATTTTTTCCGTATTTTATTTATAAATGGACTTAGTTTTTCTTCCAGTTAACATTACATAACAGTTTAAGTTTTTATTTAAAACATTTATTAGATTCATAAACTATCCTGGATTTTTACCAAACTTGGACAGAAGCTACTTACAATCAAAAGATAGTATAGAGAGGAATATTTTTATTAATTTTTTTCCTCATTTTTGTTGAGCCTGTGATAAACAGCAGAAGTAGGCGAGACACTAGGTTCCGCGGAACCCTTACGAATTTTTTATTTAAAAGTTGTTTTTTAGGTATTAAGGACACACTAAACCAATGTCATTTTTGAGAAAAAAAAGTTGTATAAATTACAACAATAACAAAAAACATACCTTTGTTTTGGTTTGAAATGTCCTTCTCGGGGGATTCCCTGTTTTCCCACCGAAAAACACGGTAAATTTCGCATATTTGACTTTCATCTTTTTTGGTGGCTTAAATTAACTATTTTTCAGACATATCATAATATATAAAAATCGAGATATTGATAAAAAAACATTTTTTTTTCTTGTTTTATCGTAAATTTAATTCTTTCATCACTTTTTGAAATTGGCCCTTCTGTGAAAAAAAGCATGCAATTCTACCGGTCAATTATCATTTTGGATATTTTTTCCAAACAATTTCATGTAGTAAGATTTGGTTTTACATTGAGCTCGTTCTTGTCCAGTATTACATTCCTTGCGCACTTGCACGTACTCAGCCAAACTCCGAACTCCAAGTTAAATTCAAAACGGAAAGTCCCTTATCAAATGGCAAAATCAAAAGCTCAAACGAATGGAAAACAACTGTCATATTCCTGACTTGGTACAGGCATTTCCTTATGTAGAAAATGGTGAATTACACTTGGTTTTATAGCTAGCTAAACCTCTCACTTGTATGACAGTCGCATAAAATTCCATTATATTTACAACAATTATTAATATGTGTGAAGACGTACCCCAAATTTACTGGTAGCTCTTTCATTTTTTTCTGAAATAAATTTATTGCATTAAAATGTTTATTAACATGTAAAAAAAGATCTATAGTCAAAATTAATCTTTAATTGGCCGTACTTATAAATATTCAGATTTCGGACATTTTTTTCGTTGATTTAAAGTACTTTTATATAAGTTTTAATCTTTTTTGTCATGATTTTTATCGAAGACTTGATCATTAACTACTTTTCTCGTTTAAATTTCTAAAAACAAAAACGATCAAAAACTTTAATTAACGGTGATCTTTTTTCCTAAATTTTGTCCATGTACATTTTTTTTAACAGACAAACATGAATTGGTAAAAAAAAGGTCGAACTAGCAATCACAAACAATAACTAGGTTCCACTCTGTAGGCTTTATTTATAAAGTGTTTTTGAAAATTTGTGTTATTTTTAAATGAAGCGTTGACCACACACACTTGTCCGGGCTCCCGCTTTTTCTACGTTCAAATGAACCTCTTCTGTAAATGGATACATGTTTGATGGAACAAGATTCTAGGCAACTATCTGTCAGCCTGCTCTGAAAGCAAGCCTAATGCAGTTTTCGTTACAAAAACGGATGTAAAATTATTCGACCCATAATATTACAATTTTCTGCCTGGGGTGTCACCGGCTGTTCCCATTACCTGGGTACCGCAGACGGCGGCACTTAAACGCCTGCCTCATTACGGCCGTCTAAATCTTATAGCACTCGTCATAGGCGGATCCAGCCCCCTTTTTTTCGTAGGAAAAATTTATGTGGATTATATAGGGAAACACTGTAGCATGAGTGAGTGTAGTGCCCCCTCTCCCCCCAAATAACAAGTTCTGGATCCCGCCACTGTTCATGTATAGATGATACCACGCTCTCTGCGCGCTAAAAGAGGGGTCCGTAGGTGGACCGTTGTACTTAAATCTATATTTCTGCCCCATTACAATATACCCTTATTTTTTAGTGAGTCATAATTTCTCCGACCTGTATCCCGAACGGGCTATAATTTAGGACCTCCTTTTTCAGTATATTTATTGTTAATTTCTTTTCTGTTCTTAACATTACCATTATTTACCACAAGACGGCGATAAACAAGCAACCCAAAATCAATCTATTCTTATATTATTGCACACTTGTCCATTTTATTCTCTTATCTTCATACTATAAAATACCATTATTCTCTATTTTTCATATTAAAGCACACCACTTTTCTCTATTCTTTATATTGTATCACATCGTCCTAACCATGCATGAAATATTTGCCACTGGACATTAAGCAACCAACCGTCAGTATATTGTATCTCCGCTAGTCTCTATTCTTTATTTGTTTATCCATTTTTCTTAGCTTTATCTCATTATTCTCATTTCTGTAAATTCCTGTTTTAATTTATGCTGTCCTTTTTGTATATTCTTTCAGATATCTGATGCACTTACCTTACAAAAAAGCCACACATCAAGTTACGTCTATGTAGAGAAAAACATCTCATACAAATACTAAGATTACAATGTAGAAAAACTTTCTTAACTATAACTGGCAGATCAGTGAGATCACACAATGAGCCAACTCAATTTTCATTTACAGAATTAACTGACCTTAAAACTGCAAACGACAGAATAGTCTGAATGTTTCTTAGCTGTTACAATATATATATATATATATACTCTTTGAATGCATGTTTGAATCATGCACATGGAAAAGATTGAATGGGATTTATCCCGTATTGCATGGTGACTTGTAAAAAAATAATATAATAACTCAAAGGTGTATTCTTCTTCTCTAACTCTTATAATATCCATCATGTATTAGCATGCAATGAAGGACAGCTTCCCAATAACAATAACTTCTCCTGTGAACCTTTATATAAAAATAAGGAAATTGGTATGATTGCTAACGAGGCAACAACCCAGCAGAGTTTAAATGACATGGATATACGCAAATGTAATCACTGCATGGCATTCAATATTGAGAAAACTCCCTACCATATAGTCAACTATAAAAGGGTGCGACATGAAAATGAGATACAATTCAAACCGTGAAAACTAACTGTTTAATTGTTTACATTGTATATGGTTTTTAATTTGTTAATACAAATCTAATTTCCCTGACATATCTAACAACAATGTGTTTCTTGATTTTTGTTTTATTTACTCAATATACGTCTGTGTACCTTTTTCACTTGATGGTTGCTGTCAAAATAATGTTTAGCCAACATTTTTGGTACTGTGATTTATTTAAACTGATTGATGCTTCAGTAATTAAAAAAAAAAAACTTTCAGTTTGAATCTTGTTCTTATAGAATTGATGCATGTTTATGATACAATGAAAATCCTGAATATTACATATTTTTTTTAATTCTTCACATTTTACACTTAAAATCTGTGTCCAGAAATCATCATTGGCTTGTCTACAAAAGAAAGTTAATATTAAAATCATATTAATTTTTGGTCACCAGCATAGCATATATGAAAAACAAATTGTTTGAAAAAAAAACATCATAGAAATATATTGTATAAATAATTGTCCTGGGGCAAGCTGAATCCCGCTTCAGGATGCGATTATCTCGCTGCGTTGAAGACACGACCCATTGGTGGCATTGGGTTGTTTCATGCTCTTTGGTTGAGTTGGTGTCTCTTTGACACATTCACTGTTTGTATTCTCTATCCAAACCATGCATGGATTTTTCTCATTGTTGAAGGCCATACAGTTGCCTATAATTGCTCACATCCACTTCATTTGAACTTAGGTGGATAGTTGTCTCATTGGTATTCATACCACATCTCCTTATTTGTGTAATGTTGACATTTTGGTACTTTTATCTTCACTTTTTGTTTTAGTCTACATGATAAACTCTTAACCATGATGATGTCTACTTTTGGTAATTTATGTCATTGGGTTCACCGGTTGCTGCCTCATTAACACCTCCTTTCATTGATGCTGAATCTATTGTTTTACTGTCTTTTGTTTTGCAGAAAATTGAATGATCAGTGTTTTTCTCTTGACATGGTTTTGTTCAACATTAACAACAAAGAAACAGGTTTAGATAGCCACTTGGTATCTTCCCTGACAACATTTTTTTTCATAAATGAACTTTTTTGTGTGTGACAAAATGCCTTTTGATAGTGCAATAAAAGTCCAAAAAAATGTATTTTTCTATTTTAAGTTGACCAGTCCAGACTTTGTTAACTAACAGTATATATACATTTTTAGATAGTGAAATATGAGTTAAACGAAATTACTTTTCATAACAACGTGTCCCATTTTTTACTGATCTGTATTGTATAAGCTAAATGCATTTGTTTTTAAAAAAAAAATCGATCACATATCATTTTGACCGTTTAGTGTACTATGTAAAAAATGGCATCTTCTAGATACACTTTCTTTGTTTTTCTTTGAATGTGTACATCATTGTGCATCCCTCCTCCCCTCCCCTTTTTTTCTTTTACGCATATCAAGATGTAAACTCTTATATTTAGATAGATACAACAGTCTTATCTTAAATGAAGGTAATGTTTCGGCGTCATAGCACTTTTCCATCAAGTATTTATAAAGTTAAAGATACTACACATCAACCCAAAAATGTATTTATAGCGTATATGACTGTTCGAGTGGTCCCAGTCAACACACAAATTGACATTTATTGTATAATTATAAACTCGTTCGTAGCACACAGAGTCTGACATGCATGAACGAATATAAATACTCAGTGTAGCAGGTGGCATTGAAATATATGTTACAGTGTGTGTTGTCATAAAATCTTACCAAGGTTGGATGTGCTGATTTTTTCCTTCGCGGCCATGCTGTATGGTGTTTTCCATGAATTGTATGTCGTCACAAAAATATATAAATAGCTTTAAACAACAATCGGTACACTCGGGCTTTTCAATAATATTATCGTAATGTCATTTCTTCCGAAGTCAATAACCAACTTCTTGGTTATTCGTCTTGGACATTATCTCTAACAACAAGCTAAAAAAGCCGATACTATTCCGAATGTCATAAATTACCATTTTTATATCACTTGTCATCCAGACGCTATACTTTGAAAAATAAAGCGGCTGGATGATCGAGACTACGTTTATATATAAGAGAAGCTTCCGGTCAAGATTTTGCCCTTTTAACTTAATGTATTCCTAATTTATGTTATACCATATAATTAGATAATGAATTATCTTTAGAAATCATGTTCAAGATTTTTACAGGGCTTTATATTTTTTCGTGAATTTTAGTTCAAAGTTGAAATTTTGACTTCTTCATTTATATACAAGATTTCAAAATCCGGTACAAATGTCATTTCTAAACAAATTATAAATCCCAAAGTCGAATAAATGTGAATGATTTGTAATGAATTAGCCTCAGACAAAATATTTATTAACAAATACGAAATTAAAAAAAAATCAAATTCTTTATTCAACCTCAGACACATTAAGTGTACAAGAGGACAATAAACTAACATTGTATACATAAATGATGGCAGGCGAGACTGACATAATACAGAGAAAACACAGTAAAATCGAACATACGATATCATGCTTCAACTATTAAAATTCAATCGGATACATGGTTTTTCTAAAAAATACTTCGAGATTTTTTTCAGGAACAATGACAGGTTTTTGTATAGTCGAACATGACATAAAGATAACATATTTTTCATTTTTATCTCACTTGGATGTGTACTATAGTAACTAGGTACATATATAATTTTGAATCTGCGATACCCAATGCTGAATGAATTGATCGGTTAGTCTTTGTCTTATATTTAATTTAAGCTGGTTTTTATCCATATGTACCTGGTTACTCCAAACAAAACTCAATCCACATTCGTCCAAAGTAGATTTTATGTACGAAATCCATTTGAACTTTTTAGGACTAGTTTTATGTAATTCAAACATTAATTTATACATAATTGTTGATAATTTATGATCATTTATCAATAAATTATTCCAAAAAGACAACATTTTTTGTTTTATTACAATTTCTAAAGGATATCTCCCAGTTTCACCATAAACCATGTAGTTAGGTGTGGTGTTTCTAAGTTTCAGTATTTTTTTTTTTGCAAAATTGAAAGTGCATTTTTTCTATACAATTTTTATTTTCAAAACCCCATACTTCAGCTGAATATAACAAAACTGGAACAACAAGACAATCAAAAAGTTTAAATTGTAAATCAATAGGTATACTGATATTTTGTATTTTATAGAATAAGGCATAAAGGGCCTTCTGAGCTTGATCATGTAATTTCTTTCTAGCAGTTTGAAAAGTTCCATTGTAATTAAACATGACCCCTAGGTATGAATGTGAATCCACTGTTTCTATAATTTGATCATTAATCTTAAATGCATTACAATTCTTCATCTTTCTTTTACTAAAAACCACTACCTTTGTTTTACCAATGTTAACTTTTAGTTTCCATATATTACAATATTTCTCAAATGATTCCAATACTTTTTGTAAACCTTCAGGCGTTTCAGATATGATGACAGTGTCGTCAGCATACAATATCAAGAACAGTTTGATATAAAGCAATAATTTTTCTAAGCATAAATCTTAGATATTTTCTAGACAGTCTACATTATTATCCACAAAAAAGTCTTCTAGGTCGTTCAGATAAATTGAAAACAAAAATGGTGACAAATTTTCTCCTTGCCTCACACCAATCTCACAGTTGAATATGTCCGAGTACTCTTTACCAAGTTTGACTCGTGTCTTTAAATTTTGGTACATATTATAAATAACAGTTAAAATTTTACCCCTGATACCAGTTTTTTGCAATTTATTCCACAGCCCTAGTCTCCAAATGGTGTCAAAAGCAGACTTAAAATCAACAACTGTACAATAAAGTTTCCCGCCTAATGAAAAGTAAATAATGACTAGGGCGTACAAGACAAATATATGTTATCAATAGTTGAGTGTCCTTTACGAAAACCAGCCTGTGAGCTTGAAATAAGGGAGATACAATCTGATAGTTTACCAAGTCTATTATTTAGGATAGACGAAAATAATTTGCTGAAACAATTACGAATTTAAGGTAATACCCCTGTAACAATTTGGGTCCGACCTTGTACCCTTGTTTTTGAATATTGGCACTAATATTCCAGCATCCCATTTTTCTGGTATTACTCCAGTATAAAAAATCAAGTTAAATAATTTTACATATACAGGCATAAGAGTGTTAACAGTACTCTTTATATATTCATTCAAGACACCATCATCACCACTTGATTTATTATTTTTCAAATTACTAATAGCGAGTTTAATTTCTTCTTCGCTTATAATACCATTAAGGATATAATTAATGTTTTCTTGTATAATATCATTATCAAAAAACAAAATCTCCAGGATTTCCATCTGCCTCATCGTTTTTGTTTAACTCCCTAAAATGTTCATACAAAGATTCAATAGAATATCATTTATATTATCTGTTTTTGAATTGTGAAAATTATGTAAAATCTTCCAAAAAGATTTGCTATCACTTTTAGAAAGGTTCCGAAGATCGTCTGCAATCTTTTGCTGATATTTCTTGTAAGCAATGTTTAATGTGCTTTTATATTTTTTGCTAGATTCAATCATCAATCTTCTATTTTCGGCATTCTTAACAAAACTATACCTCTTGATTGCTTTATGAAAACCCTTTCTGTTTATTGCAAATAAATTATTAAACCAGGGTTTAGAATCATCTTGCTTTTTAAACTTTGTTCTCTTTTTAACTTTGCTGAAAGTTTCTATAGCTGCATTATGAAAATTTTGGACTATTTTATCAACAATAACATCAATATCACTCTGACGTACTTCGTCACACGATGAAAGATTTTCGATACTATTTAATACATTGGCCAATATAGCCTCACTATCTGTTTGAATACAATTTACAAATTTGGAGTTAAAAGGGGAGCTAACACCCCATTCGGCTACACTCCTCCAGGTCATAGGCGGAACCAGGGGGGCCCTGGGCCCCCCTCCCCTTTGGGAAAAATTTGGTTGATTTTATAGGGAATCATTGAAGCATGACTGGAGCGCCCCCCCCCCCCCCCCTTTAGGTCAGTCAGCGGGTCCCCCTTGTGAAAAGTTCTGGATCCGCCACTGCTCCTCCCTTACGAAAAAAAATGTATATGAAATAACATTTGACAATACATTAAACAATCGACTATTAATGTTCATAAGATAAATTTCTTTCAAACACATGTAACAATATCATGTTTTAAAAATGTCACTGTATAACACAAACACAAAGCACACTTCAGAATCAGGTTCATCTGTCAACGGACGCGACCTTAATTAAGTCTTCTTGGTAAGGAGTCTTCAGTGGTATTACGTATATGGTAACGGCACAGCTAATGTTGAAATCCATGAAAAGTTGTACCAGGCAATGTCCACCAATGTTTATCTCACAGTGGCACATTTGACCTGTACTACCGGGTTCTATTACTACATTCCAACGTTGTTGATAACGGTAGCACAAATGGTGTGCCACCGGAGATGGATCGGGTCCATCTGTATGCAAGGTTCTCAAAATAAAGATGGACGATGCCCATCTTATTTGCAAACGCTCTCAAAATATAAATGGACAATGCCCATCTTTTAAGTAAGGTTCTAAATAATGGATCTGATCCATCTGTATGAGATTGAAGTGTTCCTAACTTCAAGCTTAACTTTCACTCTATTGGTTTCTGCCATGACTTACAAAAGTCAAAAGTCGGATTTCCATACACTCTCTTAATACTAAATATTTAGCTAGAGATTACAATCCAGACAAATGAGCAACAACTCATAAAACAAACCAATTCCTACTAATACTAGCTAACGGTCTACACTTCAAACCACACAGAAGATCAGCCATAAAACAAGAAATAGAAATGAACAAAAGTATAACAAGTTGCTTTCTTTAAAAAAAAGAAATGCAATCGTGAACCTAAATGCATGTTTGGAATGAAAGATCAGATAATTGTTTTATAAAGATGCATGTTTTCACCTCATTTCTTTTTTATATAAGATGTAGATAAACTGACATGGATTCTTAATGAAACTGATGTTCAATGTTGGGCATAATTTTTTTGTTAAAGAAATAATTTCTCTCTCTCCCTCAGTCGCTTCCGATAGATAACATTGCAACATGATAAATAAGAAGCAACCACTGTATGTTAATTCCTTTCTGAGGTGCTATTTTGTGAATTAGAGGTAGCTTTCTGGCTGAAGTCGAAATGTAACTGTGAAAACAGTCTTTGTTGTAAAGAAGTTTAAAGAAATGAATCATGATTATAAGTCAGTTTTGTAGCCAGTTTGAAAATAGTTCAAACTCTAAGCTATATTCTTATTTGTTAATCCCGAACTAAAACCATTTTGGAAAACCAATTACACTGGTTTGTATGGTTTGGTCATTGGCTATCATAGGCAAGATATGCTTGATCTCAGTTTATCCATACACCAGGTAACAAACTCAAATCAGGTATTTAGAGTAGAAACAGTTTGACACCTAAATTTATAGTTAACTTAACTTAAGTATAATTATAATTTTCAATCCAAACATCGAGGAATAGATCAGACCTCATTTTTTTACTTCATATAAAAATAAGAAGATGATGTATGATTGCCAATGAGACAAATCTCCACCAGAGACCAAGTGACGTAGAAGTTAACAACTATTGTCACCGTACGGCCTTTAACAAATGAACATACCGCATAGTAACCTACAAAATGCCCCGATATAACAAATGTAAAACAATTCATACGAGAAACTAACTGCCTGATTTCATTGCTTTTTTTCCCTTATTTATATTTTGATACAAATGTAGAGCCTTAATAAATAATATAAATAGAAATTCATTATCTTATTTCTGACTGTATCTATCATCACTCAGTCCCTATAAAAGACAATCGTTGTTTTATCTCTGAATTCTGTATGTGCTATGTATGTTTTGTATGTGCTAGCTGTGTTTTAAATGTGCTATGTATGCTTTAAATGTGCTTTGACAGTGGCTATTTATATCTGCATGATGTCTGTCTTATAGATGATGCCTTTGAGTTTTAAATGTGCTTTATGTGTTCTATATATGCTTCATATTATTCGTATGTAATTAAATAT